CATGAGGAATGATTGGCAGGAATTGTCTGAAATCACCCCCAAGTAACATAACCTTACCACCAAATGGTGCTCGGTTATTTTTATCCAAATTCATAACTTCATTAAGAAGATCATCAATTATATTTAAGGCACGATTTGAAGCCATTGTACTGTACCTAAGGTGCTCTCTGGTTTGCAATTTACCGTTTGGGTTCGACGCAAAGTATCCTTTGACCTCATCGACCGCACGATGGGCTTCCTTCAAAAAAATTTTCTTTACCCTTATCTTTAGAATTATCACCCATTATACCACCAGATCCTGAGGCAGAAAAGTAAAACCAGTAAAGAAGCCTGGCCGATGCACTAGACCGAGGAGACCTGGCAGATGCTCTAGTCTGGAGATCATGGACGACGCACTAGTCTATGACTGATAGAAAGTAAACCGGACGAAGAGAGATCCGAAGTTAAGCACTAGAAAAACTGAAAAGGAGAACTCACCAAAAAATCCTGATCTGTATTTCACTGGAGAAGTTAAAACAGTAAGCTCTGTGCACTAGGACTGATGGTAGCCCTCGATGGTGAAGAGCAAAGTACACAAAAGTCTGTGGACACCGAAGGTCCCTGAAGCACTTGTCTATAAGGGTGATGGTATGGGCGTTGAGAGCGAAGCAATCTTGGCTGTTGGAAATATCGGTTGATTAACTCTGTTGTCTTTTCTGCCCACGTTGGACAACTTCACTACCGTCCACGACTTTCGTTCGCGCGTGTTATTTACAACAAAATTGGTTCCACCCTTTCCCCGTGCATTGTTAATACCCAAACAGGAGGTATTCCTAATAGATGTATTTTACATAATCTAAGTTTTATTAGCCTACTTACTGAGTATTGCTCTAATAGGAAATGACCATTAGCTTTGCTTTCGATTGATCAATCAAAAGCATTTGACCGTGTTGACCACGGCTTTCTTTGACATGTTCTAAAAAGATATGGTGTGCCCGACGAGGTACAGTACTTTCGGCTATCGAAATTGTGTATTTTAAGGCTCATTGCCGCATTAGTATTAAAGGCCATCTCTCTGACCCCTTTCTGCTCGGAAAGGGTATCAGAAAAGGGTGTCGTCTGTCCATGTTCCTTTTCTCCCTAAGTATCAACTCCCTCTTGGGCGAGATACAAAGGGATTTTAATTCCATGCATAGGTTGGCCTGAGGTACCTCAGGCCAACCTATGCATGGATACTTCAAATCGAAACTACTACAAGTTCGTGGCCGATGAGATCACTTTTTTGTCAAGGACAACTGGGTTATCTCCAGAATCTTTAGCCTTTTTGACAGAATACTGTCAGACCTCTGGAGCTGTCATCAACAAGAGCAAATCTTTTTTGCCTCTTGTTGGTTCTGTCTCTCTCCCTGTGTGTTTCTCAGACATCCCTGTGAGCCGAAGTGTTAAGATCTTAGATTTATATTTTGATGCCGACTCAGCCAAACAAAATATAAAGGAGATTGAAGTTAAAATAAGGGACAAAATTTCTCTTTGGTCGGGAAGCTATCTCTACTTTCCCAGTAAGATAGCTGTCAACAAAAATATCATGTTTGGCATTTGTGTTTACTATGCCTCTGTTTTCTGTCTGGACCAGTGGCGTACCGTGGGTGTCAGCCGCCCGTGGCGGAGAAAAATTTCGGCCCCTCCCTTATTTAGGTATTTCAATTTAAAAGACCAAAATTCAGTTATGTCACAGAACAAGCAATGAAAAATTCGGTGTTAGTGCAGCGACCTGTTTAAAATAGTTCTATTGGATATTAGTGGTGTATATGAACGCGAATGAATCGTACAAGCAAAAAAAAAAAGAAAGGTCAACTGGTTTCGCAGAATTTCCTTGGATGAAAAAATTACTAGTTCACCTGGATGGCGAGCCGATTCCCAGACTGTCCGGACGATAGCACTATCGTATGCGCGATGCAAGTATAGATTAGGATGTTTCAAATTTTTACAAGATATTATTATTATTTATTGCAAAATTTTGCCGCCCCCTAAAAAGTGCCGCCCGAGGCGGGCCGCCCCTTCCGTCCCGCCTACGGTACGCCACTGGTCTGGACGCAGGCTTCTGGAATATTAATCGTCTCCATTTTCGTTTTGTCCGGGGCAATAAACCCGAATGGGTTAGTAGAAATATTATGTATAATACTAGTGCAAACGATAGATGGGCCATGTTTGATCTCATCCTCTTCTCTGTCGCTGCCCAAATTAGGCAGCTGGTCCTAGCCCTTAGTGGCCGCGATCACCCAGTAAGTTCTATTGCTTCTTTCTCAGATATTGCATTAAATTGCTTTTACCTGATTACAAGGTAAACTTGGTGCCCAAAGTGCTGGAGCCACCACCATTTGTGAAAGTATGGTGCACGCACCTACTTAGTCTTTTCCAATCTGGGAATCTCCCCACTGTTAAATCTAAAGCTTGCGAAATTTACCTCAACCTTAAGCCCGATACTTCACTATCCCTCTTTCCGTTAGTCACTCAGGCCAAGATTGGCCGTTTGGCGCAGATGTTTTGATAGGCTAATTCCCGAACACTGCGTCGAACTCCAGTGAAGACTACTGCATAACGCACTCTCCATCAAGGTTAAACTCCGGTCTATTGGAGTTTACGTTGCGAGTGAAAGCTGTCCAATGTGCAACTCTTCGCCGGAAACGGCAGCACATCTTTTCTATTTCTGTAGGGTGGCAAGGAAAATTTGGGATTGGATTAACCCCCTCCTTGGACTACCCTTTCTGTCACGTGAGAACGTAGTCCCTTTACATCCTGTTCAGCAAAGGTACCACATCTCCCTATGTGACTAGTCTTCTAATCCATACGGCTAAGCACGAGGTGTGGCTCGCCAGGTATAGAAAGGTGTTCGAACATAGAATCACCACCCATCTCCTCTTTCGTATCAAAATCCGGGAGGCTTTAGCTTTCATGCTCCTCTCGGACTTTCAGTCTTTGCCACGGGCAAACTTTTTATCACTTTGGGACACCGCCAACCAGACTCTATATGGGTCTGGAAGGATGGTAGACCATCTTTAAATGACATTGTTTCCTCTTTTCCTTAGTGCTCAGTAGCACGTAAGTTAATGTCAGTTTATGTGTAAGTAATTTGTAAATTCTTCTGTTTTCGGTTGCTGGGAGGTGGACTTCACTCTTTAGCCAGTTGGGCTTTCACCTTCCTCTCTTATTTTCTGTCTTGCTACATCTCTGTGCCTTATCCCACAGGGATGTGGTGTTTCCTTTTTTGGGGGGTTGGTTCTCCCACTCTGTTCCACGTTATCTAATGATTCCCCCGACATCTGTTTGGAGGGATAGGATACTGTTTCACTTCCATCTTCTAGTCGTTGACTCCCTTGCTGTCATGGAAGGTTTGACGAAGCAACACCACTGTTTTTCTTCAGATAGTTACTTATATCCTCGCAGTACAGAGAACGGCCTTATTTACTAATGTGGAGCTCTGTGCGGCGAGGAGGTACTGATTCAATGATTAGACAGTTATTGCTGATGCGGATGGCGGTCTTTCGTCACTTCGCAGGGGATTAACTCTCCCCGTATAACATCAATGAGATTCAGTATACTGTCTGGCTCTGTCGGATTGCAAGGTCAGGTTATGGCACTAACCAACTCTGGCAATCTGGCGGGATAGGGAAGGACCTGTCTGCCCAGTAGCGGGTCACCCCAACCAACAAAACGCAGATGATGGTACTATCACAGACACAACACATAATTCACAGAATATGATATAACACTGTATCCAAAGGCAGACGTAAACACAGACACTGGCTCAAACACAAACACTAGTATCCATAAGGCAAAAGTATTCCAATATGGCCGACACGGTCGTCCTCAAGCGATGAACTACAACCCTAGGCAGGAAGACAAGATGGAGGACACACTGGACACGAACACGCCTGACCAATATGGCTGCTACCTGTTGTCTTCTAGGATGATGGACTGGGGAAGCCAATATGGTGATCGCCCATAACACAAGACTTAACCAAAAAAAAAAAAAAAAAAAATGCTAGAAAATTTAGGCTTAGCAAACCTAAGCCTAACCAACTCACTACGTCTGAAATAGTCATACTTTAACACAGGAAAACACTGGTAAGCCTAATTAATTCTACGGTTAATTAACTCACAAATCTTAGCAGAAAACACAGTCTGGAGAGAAATGACACAAGTCTTCATTCTGTGAGAGCTAAACTCAGACTAGTTAATAGATACAAGCATAGAACATTCCCCATAAAAAATAAGAAACCCACTCTATTCATAACCGCACCGTTAACATAACAAGTTGCACCTTCAGAAAAGTTATTAGACAGGGCAACAGTACGGTTTACGATTGATTTCGTAATGACAAGGACACAATAGATCCTACCACGGTCCCAGGAGTGTACGAAATATTCTTTACTCTAGGGACTATATTATTATTTATTTATGTTATACTAAAAGGAAGGTATGATGTACTACAGGAGCAAGATACTACTAATTTGAAGTGGAGAGCATATATTTTAAATTAAATAAATTAAAAAATATATGATTAAAAGTCGCAGCCCGACGTTGTGACGATGTCACAATAAATAATTGCACGTTACAATGGAAAATTAGTTGCTATAGGGTAAACTTGCCTAATTCGTACTACTTCAGGAAAAACCATCATATTATCGAAATTAATAAACACAAATTATTTTTTATTTTAAGTAACTTTTATTTGGGAAATATTTTATCACTACCATAATCAAATTTAGCATAAATCTTATAAACTTCTGAGAAATAAACAATTTAAAAAAACACTGAAAAAGTACGATTTAGGAACATTCGTCTTAAATCGTACCGATATATTCTTAAATCGTACTTTGAGATCCTATCATTGGTTTGCAGTCTTAAGAATAAAAATCTTTATCAATAATGTATTAATACGTGTGTATATTAACTCTTAGCAAATTCGGCAGCTGGTCTTTGCCAATTTTTGGCAGTCATCGCAGTTGTAATCCATTGTCTTTTTATTGGTTCCTGCGCAAAGTTCATGTACCCATATCTCACATTGTGTGCATTTGATCATACTTTCTTTTACGTCTTCTTGGCATAATTTACAGTACCAACTGTTATTTTCATCTTCCTGTTTTTTTTAATTCTCTTTTTGTGATATTTTAGTAGTTTTGCTTTTCTTCGCACCAAGATTCTTTCATACGTTTTTCTTCTTGCAATTCCAAGAATACCACGTAGTGGAGATATTATTTCAAATGTCGCTCGAACTGTCTCTGTATTAGAAATGTTTACTTTCATACCTAAAGAACATTCCTTCGCTTTCTCTTCCAGACACTGATCTTGCTGTTTTTCCGAAGGGTGAGTTGTCGGTACCTCAGGAAGTTGTGGGTACTCAACTTCTTCAGTCTGTTCTCAGTAGTCTGATTGGATTGTGCCACACACGTTAAAGTATCTGTTTGTTCTTGCTGCCTTTCAGTTGCCAGATTCTGGGAGACTTCCGCCGTTTCACTTAGATTAGCATCTTCGTCAAGAACGACATATTCCTCATCCCCGATCTTAAAGCGATTGCGAGGCCACAATCCGCAAGATTCGAAGTCATGCATGCCTGTGTCCATACAAACGGCTCGAAGATATGCTTTATTAGGGAACAAGGATGGTTTGCATCCACGATGCGCAAGCAGCACTAAAATTCAGTTTTAGTGATTTAAAAAATGACCTATCTAGTCTATTCATTGATGTATATTCAGTCCTTGTAACTATCGTCTAAATGTCAATTACGGTACATTATATACACTACAAACTTCGTTAAATTATAAGGTCTCGTTATTATATTTTTTAATCGCTTCTTTCATATTTTCTTTACTCCGAGAATTATATTTTCTTTTTGACACGTTGTTCTAAAATTAAAGACGATTAAGTTTTAATCTGTTTTGAACTTTTGCGTTTATTTTTTCAAATCAGAAACTTAGAAAAAAAATAAGTTCACGAATCGGTAATAGCTTATTGTGACATTCATCTAAAATGGTTTTCCTAAATCGTACCAGTACGTTTTAAGAACATGCCTCGAGTACGAAATAGGCGCAAGAGTCGAACAAACTTTACATTAGTCTCCAAAAAATTTGACAACAGATACGCATGTTTCATCACTTTCGATGAAATCACAAAAATACGCACTAATACACCACAGATAGTTAAAAAAAAACTTACGTACGATCCAATTTGAAGAAATTTCGTACGAAATGTGCAAAAATATTACAGAAAAAGTTGAAAAAACTTTCCTTTTCAATATTTTTGTCGGGAGCAGAGTAACAGCGTGTTGTCTGTCAGATGGTAATATGACCGATTGTTATTTACTTCTTTTGCTACTAGAGACACTAATAGCTATTACGGGAGTGAAGATATAAGCGACCGATTGTTATTTACTTCTTTTGCTACTAGAGACACTAATAGCTATTACGGGAGTGAAGATATAAGCGAAGTACGAATTAGGCGCAAGTACGAATTAGGCAAGTTTCCCCTATACCACCTCCACATAGCTGTAAATAACATGTGTTAAAAAATTAAAGCTTACCAGGAAAAAAATGAATAAAATTCATCTAATTTATAGTAGAATATAGTTGAAATTGCCTGGTTAAGACACGTATTATCTTTGCTTTAACTCCAGTAGATGCTGGATAACATTTCATAGCTTAATAGTTATCTGTGAGATAATTCCCTTTTCAAATTTTACCATAACGGAAGAATTATTCTTTAACTTATTTCCGGGATATAAGAAACGGATTCCATCTTATTAAACTCTTGTTTAGAATCGCTTAGAAAATTGGAAGAGGAATACAATTGTTATCCAACCTATTTACTGTACGCATCGAAAATGAATCTCGTTTAATGCAGTTTGAATTGGTCTAACTGCTTGAAAATTGTAGACTTATAAAGTCCCACTGTCATCCGTCCGTCTGTCTGCCATTCCTGAATCTCGAGAACGGAATTAGGTAGATGAAAGCCGAGATCAGATACGAAAAGCTTAGGGAGAGCAGGCCCCGATTAACTTTATACGAACTTCTGGTTTGCACAGAAAGTCACGCTTTCAATTCAAAAATTTTCCCCTGAAAGGAGTTAGATGATTGGCACGACTGTATTGCTAGCAGGGAAGTATGATGTACAGGGACAAGACACTATTAATTTGAGGTGATGAGCATACATTATAAATTAAATTAATTAAAAATATGATTAAAAATAAATAATTGTTCGTCTTAATAATCATTATTCATATGGGAAGTGTAGCAAAAACTATGAATAATCTTTCATTTCTGGATGGAAACAAATGAAAACTGTTATGAAAAGTTCTGTTCCTGAATTTTTAAATACAGTAGAACCTCCATTATCCGGACCTCCATTATCCGGATTTTCGATTATCCGGATTGTTCAAAATAAACAAAAATTTTACGAATTTGCTGATTTGCACTTGGCGAATTACGACACTGTTTATGTTC